TGGACATTGCACAGTCAATTGTTCTAAAGCCTCAGAACAAGAATTGTTTATCAGATCACAGTTTGTGGACCAACCTTTGTTTACGTAGACGCACACTCCGCATCCCCGTGCCTTCCCCGATAGTTTGCTGCAGCGATCTGCCCGAAAAAAGTTTGTTGTCAAGTTGGAATGCTGTTTCTGGCGTGTAACGAATTAAACCAATAAACTATTAAACCATGTTTCCATGAGGGAGCACAGTTCCTCATTTCCTCTAAGACCCTCTCAGTCGTAGAAGATCCAGCTTGTTTTGAAAAGAGCGGACGTTGGCCAGAAACAGAGATGGAATCAGCAGTCTATTAGCATTAGCCTTCAGTCTCGCTAACCCTTCGGCCTGTCTCCCCCCTTCTTCATCCGGGCACAGCACTTTCTCTTTCCGTTTCCTCCCAGGCTCTGATCGAGGTGGCAGCTTAAATTTCTCCTCCCCTGTTTTTTTCCTTCTTCCTGCTCTGCTCTCTGTCTGTCTGAAGCGCCTGGGTCTCATCTCCCGAACATAAATTAAGAAGATTATGGATTTGGTATCGTGGGCGTTCAACTCTATTTATAAGATTTTTTCATCAAAGCGACAAGGTCCTGGAGAACCGGCATGTCCAGCTGAGACTACATATTTGGACTTATGATAGCAGGGACTCTGCTTTTTGGCATCGGCGGGGCTCTGTTTTATCGACTTTTGAAGAAGACTGCGGGAGCAGTTTTGGCCATGGAAAAGCTTCCGAGTCAGTGTGAAGGTCTGGTACTCGCTGCGGGAACTTTAAATCGTCTGGTCTATGAGCTTAACCGTAAGGTGGAGGCGATTGAGAATCGCAGACCACCTGCGGCTTTTGGGACTCGTCAGCGTGGTGGGTTTGACCTTGAAGGAGACTCATAGCATGGATCAGTGAAATTAAATTCCACAATTAGGCTTTTTCGGAACCAGAACGCCCAGATGGACTCAAGGCTGAAGAAAAAAATCTGTCTGCCTGAAGAAAAACAAATATTAAGCTTATCTAATCTGACTCCCAACGGCCTTGGAGACAGGCTGACTATCAAATTTCTCCTGGGACATGAGTACCCAAGGACAAAAGCTTCATCTATTCCCGCCCCCCGAGAACTTTCTGTGCAAGCTTATCAGAACTGCTGGCTGGAACAACATCTTCAGAAACTGTGGCTGATCTGAAAGAGTTTTTTGATGTCTCAAATCGTGTCCTGATAGACAAGATGTGAAAGATCTTTTTTTTGTAATACCACTATCTACCCTCATGTTTCTCCCCCTTTTCCTATCTAAGATTATTATCTGATAAGGATAAAATGGCCGCGCTCTCCTGTAGTTGCAGCTTCGTGCACTCCGCCCATCTTTTGGACGACTGTACGTACATATTCGCGTTGAACCTCGGTGCAATTCCAATAACGTTTATTCTGATTCTAGACCGACACTGCCTCCACGCTGATGTCCGTAGGAGCTGCAATCTGCCGAGTGTAGATTTCAGATTGTTGTAAATGGCTGCTGTATTCAAAGCCAAACCTTCTCTTATGCTAATAAGTTCGGTTCAGCTATAATTCACATGCTTAAAACGAGCGGAATCAGGCTCGGAGCCGATTTCAGAACAGAGAAAAGCTGGATTTCCACCGGGAGCCTGGGAAGCTGCTGCTTGAGTGTGCACGGCCATCTCTGGTTAGAGACTCAAACCTCTTCACCACGTTAAGGTTGTGATTATGTGGATGGGTACACAGTAACTTCTGGTTACTGTGTATGAGAATGTCTGAACAACTGTACGTCTCAGTGGTATAGATATATATTTTTTGCAAAACTCTATTAATTGTACATGCGTATTTTTTTATATTTTTGTTCTGAGCAGGGTCAACAGGTCTATTACAGGTACAGGATCCACCTAAAGAGTTAAGTGTTATGAGAACCAGGAAGGGCAGATGAACGTAGCAGGAGGTCTCGTGTGGCTTCACGACTGCCAGGTTTCTTGATGGATGAATTCAATTAGACTTCATGAATTTCACCCAGTTTCAAACAAAAATTCAGAAGACAAAACTTTTTGAGAGAAAATCTTTATAGATTTCCAAACCCAGCTTTCAACTGAATGAAACATTTAATTGCCGGTATGCTGTGTGCTTTTACAGCAATCCACAGGTGAGTTAAAGGCAGAGGTGTAGCTGTTTTGATCAAACCTTAAAAATACTGTTGTTTACAAGCGAACACATATCAAACACTCAGAGAAGGATTTATCAATAACTCTCAGCTACTGCTACAACAAATTTTAATTCGATATCACTAAAATAACAGAGTTCTAGCCATTTTTGTGCTGGCTGTTATGAAATAGCTGCAGTGGTCATCTTCAAGTGTGTAGATGAACAGATGCTCAGATATATTCATCAATTAACGCGGATTCCTCATTTTTCTGAACTGAATAAAACGTGCATTGAATTTAATGAAATGCAACGTGAGACGTCATTTATGTTTGACCCATCAAAATGAATGCGGTCATTTATTTACAGAATCAAAGTTTAACATCAAACATTTACATTAATTTGGCAAATTATGAAAATAACAACATAAGCAATCAATCAGGAAAAATCATACGGCCATGATTTTTCCGTTGCTTCACCACAGACACTTATGAAAACTGTACAATTATGATCTTTTACCCACACGGATGTGGATGAGCACTTTACACAGACATTTCTAAATATCTGGAAGAATTTCTACTTGAGGGAGGAGTTTAAAGATGGGAAAGAAGTTTAAAGAAGAGTAAAAGATGGGGTTTGAGGGAGTGTGTTAACAGAACGGCACTCTCTGGGCTTTCTTCAGCTTTTCTTACGGTACACTTCGGTGGTGAAATCGACTCTTTTACCTGGAGATGTCTCAGGTGAGATTCCGTTTAACGCACCCTTCAGCGTCTCCGTAGGATGCTGTTACTCCTCCGGAGTAGCGGCGAGACTGTCCGACACAAGCTCACCTCAGTGGAAAATGTTATAATCCCATGAACCTCGGAAGAGCTCTGTTGTCATGTCAGGATCTTCCCGGCTCCCAGAACTGGGCTTCTCTCACAGAACTGAACTGAACTGTGTCTCCAACAGAACTCCATCAGAACTGAGTGGAACCCTCACAGCACTCCAGCAGAACTGAGTAGTTTACAGATCTCGAGCAGAGCTAGAACCGACCAAAAAGTACCGACAATTTAAAGAGCCCTTTTCCCGGTTCATACGGGAGTCTCCCATTGGCCAGAACCAACCAGACGGGGTGTGTTTTGTGACGTAAAAGGTTAGAATGCAGCAAGAATTGTTATGGAAAGATCAGAAATGTTCTCACAGACAGAGAGAGTTTTGTTTTGGCGCGTTTCAGAAACAGGTGCCAAAACCTCTATATTTACGTCTGAGAGGATTCTAAAAACATGACAGTTCGTTCCAACAACTTGTTTTGCGTTTGACTCCAACCTTGGGCCAACGTACACTTGCTCATTCAAAGACAGAAATCAGAAAATGCATAAAAATCTGTAACAGACCTCAACATGAATTCTAACTTTGCATGAGAATTTAAAAATCATTACACAGTTAATAAAATTGATTAGTTCACTGCAACATCTAAAATGGTTTGAACTAAGACACTTTGATTATCAACATTTGTAAAATAGTAATGATAATAAAAAAGAGAGTGTTCTTTTCACTTGAATCTTCAAGAAAGAAAGTCTCAGGATGGGTGAACCTGTATCTCTGGATTCAAATCAATGAAATGACAGTTTCTGTCCCACAAGGTTCTTAAGGTCAAGGATTTTGACCTTAGGCTTAGTCGTGACACCAGATTAAGTTCACTACAAGTGGATTTACTCTAAAAGTTAATCAGTTATTAATATACAGGACGATTACTTCTTGAGAGCGTAAATACAATTAAACTTGTGGTTCATGAGATATTTCACTAACAGACAAACATGCTTGACTGCAAAGGTTAATGATATTGTTATGTTTTATGTTGTGGTTTTGCACATTTTAAGCTAAAGTTTTATGCAAAACCACAACAAAACCAAACAACTGATTACAAAAGTTTATTTTTTATTTTTTGGGGTGGGTGGGGGGGTCATATATATCTTGTGGTCACAAGCCCAAATCATCATGCTTCCACCACCGTGCTTGACAGTTGGAGTGAAGTGCTTGTTTGACATAAAAGTTTCAAGAGTGGATATAAAGCTCTGATGGAGGAGCAAGAAAATCAACAAAACTAACATTTTAACAGAAAACTGAAGCAACGTGAACATTAATTTAAAGTCAAAAACATGCCTGCCTTTTAGAAAATCTGTTTTTTTAAGTAACGACTGGTTTGCTGTGGGTGTTCCTGTTTTAGAGTCAGCTGAGCAGATTGAGAAACTGTCCTGAGCTCCTTAGAAAGGATTAAACTCCCAGTTCCATCAGTCTCTGACACGGCAGACAGTCTTCACCCTGAAGTCTGTCGGGTGTTTCAGTCATCACTCTGCTCTAACCTTTACCCTCAGCCCACAGTGGAGCTTCAGGCCTGTTTCTATCCATCTGCCAGTCATCACAATCCACATGGGAGCGTTTTATAACCTCAGCAAGCCATCAGTAACTGCACTTAAATTACCTGTGAATAAGCAGAAAACTGTTGCATAATCCAGTCGTTGTAAATTATTCAACATCAGACCCAGAAGCATCACTCTTATTAATCAGGTGACGTGAGACAGACAGGCTGACTGAAGGTAGATCCAACCTGGGGAGTTAGGAGTGGATCTTCACTGGGATGAGCACCTTATGTCATACCAGTCACACACACACACACACACACACACACATGTGCACACACAAGCACTTGCTGAAAGGCATTTAAAGCACCACTAGGACCTCATGACACAAAGACAACACATTAAACCTTTCTTCAGATTGTCCCAAATGGACTAAAAAGCCTTATATCTGACCCCCCCCCCCCCCCCCCCACACACACACACACACACACACAGGTTTCTACCCACCCTGCTGAGTTGCTCCAGCAGCCTGTGGTTCTGCTCAGAGAGCTCGCTGATGGTCTTGGTCTTGTCCCTGTCCGTCTCCCTCAGCTGAGCCTGGTGGCGCTCCAGCTCACCCTGCAGCTGCTGGACGTCCGTCTCCAGCTCGGCCACCCGACCCTCCCACTCCCCCTCTCGACTCTCCAGGCGCCGCCGTAACTCGTGCTTCTCTTGCTCCAAGTGCTGGGTGTGGATGAGGGGAGAGAAGATGATAAAAGTTTAATAAAAAAGACTTTTTGTTACCAACACAAAATATAAATTGGGCCTTTTGACCATTTTGGAGAAAGTTGAACAGTTAAACTAAAACTCACAGTAAGTTCTGTAATGGCCTAGATTGTTCTGTAAATCTTATAAACACATATTTTATTTACATCGGAACATAGTTAACGAATCAAATGTTTAAATTGAGAAAATTTACTTTTTATTTTTTAAAAACCTGATGTAATTTAGGCTTTGACAGCTCAAACAAGTTGAGACGAGAGCAACAAAAGGCTGTAGAAGTGACTGGTCATTGGTTGTTGTGAACAGACCAGTAAATGGCAAATGGACTGAACTTATATAACTCCTTTCTATCTTATTTCAAGATAATCAAAGTGCTTTACACTACAATCTGTGCCTCATTTACCCATCCATACAGCTCTATACTAGATCTCTACAAAGCTAATTGAACAAATCATTCTAAAGAAACTAATCAGAGCTTTTAGATCACATTCATACACTGATGGGACACACATCAGAGGCTATGAGGGGTTCAGTGTCTTGCCCAGGGACACTTAGACATGTGACTGCTGGTGGATTCAAACCTCCAACTCTCACATTGGAGGACGACTGCTCTAACCACTCAGCCACAGCCGCCCAGTAAGAGGGTTGGGTATCAAAAGAGATATTTAGAGAAATCTCTCAGGAGTAAAGATGGACAGATGTTCATCGGTCTGAAAAAAAAAGTCTAATGATGATGGAAAAGTTTCAGAATAATTTACTTCAATTAAAAAAATGGGATGACTTTGAATATCCCATCATGTACGGGTCATAAAGAAACGACTTGAAGAATCTGGAGAAACATCTGAGCTCCAAGGAGGAGGCTGAGGATCTTCATGTCGTCAGCAGCGCTGCATTAAAACAGGTCTGTTAGAAGCATCACTGTCTGGACTCATCACAGTCTGTAAACACAGTTCACTGCACCATCCAGAAATGCTGTTTAAAGCTCTATCATGCACAAAAAGTAATCTGTGAAGACCATCCAGACACGCTGCCATCTTTTCTGGACCAGAGCTCATTTATTTGAACTGAGATACAGTGAAAAACTGTTCTGTGGTCAAACAATCAAAATAAGAAATTGATTTGGGAAGCCACGATTGCAACGTCATCCGTACTAAAGAGGAGAGTTATTACCTGCTATTAGGGCTCAGTTCAAAAGCCAGCCTCTCTGATGGTATAGGGCTGCATTAATGACGATAGCTCTGGCAGCTTACACTTCTGAAAATGCTCCATCAATGCAGAAAATGATATTCAGGCTTAAGAACAATGTATGACTTATGGACATGGACACCAACGACCCCTGCAACCCCGAAGAGAAGAAGCAAGTTGATGATGAATGGATGGATGTGCTCCCATCAGGAGGACACATCTCTCAGAAAAGGTCTTTGGTGCTAAACTTCATATCAGATCCATGACAACAGCTTTGCAGAAGAGTCCAGGTGCAGGTCCACCTGCAGTCCAGACCTCTCACCATCTGAAAACATTTGGTGCATCGTGAAACAAAACCTCCCAGGACCGTTGAGCAGCCAGAGTCCTCCATCAGACAAGAAAGGGACAATATTCCCCTCCAGCAGCTGGTCTCCTCAGTTCCTGGATGTTCACACACTTGTTTTCTTGAAGAAGAGGATGCTTCAAAGTGGGAAACATGACCCTGTCCCAGATTTTTGAGATGATGTGCTTCCATCACGTTTTAACCTAAAACCATTACAGTTTCTGAGTTTAAACGTTGGACACAGTTCATGCTGAGTAAAAGATCATGAGGTTTGTAACTTATTCTGTTTTAGTTTACAGTTTGAAATGGGCTTGTGTCTGCGCATGGAAAAATATCATTTGTATGGTAGTGACATGTAAGACAAGCTGTGGCAGGATAATAAACCAGTTGATGACAGAGATCTGACAGTAGCTGCTGTAGTGACACTTCAGATTAAAGACGACTTCTTAAACTCAAAATGTGGAGAAGCTCTGTCTCTGCAGAGGCCAGAGCTCGGACTTGTTGTCATGATTAGAGCCAAGGCCGAACCAAACGAAATCTGAACTATGTTCTTCTGCAGATAATGAGAGAAGGCCAGGGGCAGGCTGCTGCTGGAGTAAGATATGAAAGCAAATATGTGACAGGGAGCTGAGCTTCAACATAAGGATGAGCTGGATCAAAGAGCAGAGCAGATGCTGAGCAGATCCAGCAGATCCAGGAGTAAACAGGATTAGTCCCTGCGGTTTTCTGAATCAGGTTAGTTTGTGTGAACATGATAAAACCTCTTATCGCTGTGTGGGAAACTTTTTACAACAACAACAAAGTTGCTGTTTTAATCCATGACCCAAATCTGACAACATTGATATTTCCCAGATTAAACACAAAGTTCTTCGACTTGTTTACCTCGAGCTTCTCGTTCAGATCTTTGTGCATGTTCTCATATTGCTTGGTCAGGTCCTGGTTCCTCTCCAGCAGCGCTTTGCCCAGTTTCGCTGCCAGAACCAAGTCCTTCTCCTTCTGACGGAAGAGGAGCAGCAGGTCCGCGCAGGGCGCCTCCGGCTCCGCCACCTCCTCCTCGACTCCCTGCTCCCCGGTGATCAGGGCCAGCTCCTCCTCCAGGGCCGTGCCCAGGCCTCCGGAGCCGGCGCGCCGCAGCGGGGGCCCCTGACAGCCCGGGGGCTCCTGGGGGCCCGGGCCGGCTCGCAGGGAGTCGCTGTCCAGCTCGAGCGGTGCTGAAAGCGCGGAGGAGCTCTGCAGGTCCAGGCAGAAAGCCGACATGTCTGCGCCCTGAGGAAGAGGAGGAGGAGGAGAGGCCGCGGACGGCTGAGTCCGGATCAGGAGTCCGGATCAGCCCAGCCCAGTCGGGACCTGCTTCTTCAGCAACTCGTTCATTTTTCCTCTCAACGCGGCGCTGAATCCAGAGTCTTCCTCAGCCCTCTGTGGTTGACTCAGAGGAAACACCTCCTCCTCTGCAGACCAGTATGCTCAGCTGGTGACACTGGTGTTTATCCCGGGATGGACCGGCCCGACGCGCTCCTCGCTGCCGCCGCTCGCTCGGGTTCTGTCTCGTCTCGGGGTCCAGGATCCCCCATAATGATGAGCCTGCTGGACCCGGGCCACCTGCCAGACACACAAGAGAAGCGCGCCGCCGGTGCTGTCTTCAGTGCGCGTTCACGCCGCGGCAGTGACGTCAGCTGAAACGTGTTACAAACTGTCTGCTCATTGGCTGAGAATGATAGCGCCATATTTTAGTGCGTCACACACGCGCGCACGCACACCTGTAACAGCCAAAACATTTGTCTCAAGAAACAGACCTAAAAGTTACAGATGGAAACATGTGAGGTTCTCACAAGAGTTTAAATGGAATTATTTAAAATAAAACTCTTTATTTAATCAGGACCTTTTGGTTTTTAGGAATTGCCAATCCTCACTTTGATTCTTGTCAAACAACAAACCTGGAGTGAAATTTAACCCCCCCCCCCCCCACACACACACACACACTCATCAAATAATGAAATAAACTGTGAACAAAACAGGTCTTCATCTCCATCGACTTACCTGTGGTCGGGTGGTGGAGGCAACAGGTCCAGGAGGCAAACTCAGACCTCCCTCTCCCCAGTGCACCCTCCAGCTCCTCCTTGGGGACCTTGAGGTGTTCCTAGGGTACAGGGTCTGCCTTGAGGCCTCCTCGCAGTGGAACATGCTCAGACAACCTCTAAAGGGAGGCAGGACCAGGAGTCATCAGATGAACTACCTCAACAAACTCCTTTTGATATGGAGGAGCAGCAGCTCTTCTCTGAGCTCCCCCCAGATGACAGAGCTCCTGACCCTGGCCACCCTTCAAACTTCAAGACCACAGGCCAGGGTTGGAACATAGACAAATCAGTAAATTGGCAAACTGGTCTCAGAGGGGTCAGACCAGGAGCAAGTCAAAAACCTCGACAGATTTCAGGAAGAAGGAGAACCATCCCTGGAGCCAGAGCTTTGGATCCTGCAGCTCAGCTGGTCCAAGCTCAAAAAACAGGCAGGATGCCACCTCCACATGGATCCACCACCTGCAGGGAGGACCATCGAGATCAAGTGCTATGGAGGGATATATGAGGGAGGGTCCCTGGGCATTAAAAACTTGCTCAAGGGACATTGAAAAAAAATGAGGTAGTTTAGTTCTCTATTTTCAGTTTATTAAGAATATTTCAACAAAGTGTTGTAAACTAGGTACAGGGTGGCTGTGGCTGGGTGGTTAGAGCAGTCGTCCTCCAATGCGAGAGTTGAGGGTTCGATTCCACCAGCAGTTACATGTTGAAGTGTCCCTGGGCAAGACACTGAACCCCTCATTGCCTCTGATGTGTGTCCCATCGGTGTATGAATGTGATAAAACTCTGATTATTCTTTGTATAGATCTAGTATAGAGCTGGTAAATGAGGACACAGATTGTTGTAAAGAGCTTTGAGTATTTTGATCAGATAGAAAGATGTATATAAGTACAGTCCATTTACCATTTACATCACTGACAGATCTTTATTTGTGATAAACAGCTAGCTTCCATCAAACCATAAAAAGTAGCTAGGTTAATTGTTGTCCAGATGACATGATTCAACCTTTTTTGTTGTTATATACCTGGATGACTGAGAAAACAAACTTTATGTTTTTGAAACCATTAGTGAAAAGGCCAGACTTCAGGGGTATCTGAGGCAGGCTTGAAACACAAGAGTCAGGGTGGCTTCTAGGTAATACCAGATGGCTAGGCCTCAGACTGACGAAGCCTCTTGGATGAGGGGCGAAACGTTTCTTTTTAACAAAAAAAAAACGAAGTCCAGATGACATGATTCAACCTTTTTTGTTGTAGCTAGGTTAATGTTATTAACCAGTTCCTGTCAGAGATGGACTCAGCCATCTCTGACAAATATTACACTAACTCACAAAACCACTGGTGTTGGAAGTTAGTGGAAGAAATCACTTTTATCTTTGTCAATCATAAAGTTTTATAAAACCTCCACCTACACACAAACCTGGTTAATAACCTGAGCCTGACTTTGTCTTTAAGTTTGCCACCTTCAGCTCCATGAAGGACCAGGATTAATGGATTTAATCTCAAAAATATGGAGTCTGTAATCTCCAGTTTTGGGGCCACATGTGGCTCTTTGTAGATTTGACCAAAAATATTATAGAAGTTAATTTTCTATCATCCATCCATCCATCCATCCATCCATCCATCCATCCATCCATCCATCCATCCATCCATCCATCCATCCATCCATCCATCCATCCATCCATCCATCCATGCATCCATCCATACATCCATACATCCATCCATCCATCCATACATCCATCCATCCATCCATCCATAGTCTCATCTTGAGCAAGCATGAAGGCGACAGTGGAAAGGAAAAACTCCCTCATGAGGAAGAAACCTTTAGCAGAACCAGACTCATTTTCCCACAGTGAAGGTGAGCTGCTAAAGCTAAGAAAGAGAGGGGCGGTTCTGCACCAGTGACAAGTCATCAAAATACAAAAACATACCGTTTGTAAAAATAAATAAATAAATAAATAAATAAATAAAAAAAGTTCAATAAATGACAGTCTCTGCCTTCAATAGAGGGAATAATTGACAAATATGAATTTGGCAGTGGAATTGTTGATACGATCAAGTTAAATGATAGATGGACTAGCGCCTTTCTGTCTTATAGAGATACTCAAAGTGCTTTACACTACTATCTGTGTCCTCATTTACCCGTTCATACAGCTCTATACTAGATCTCTACAAAGCTAATTGAACAAATCATTCTAAAGAGACTATCCATCCATCCATCCATCCATCCATCCATCCATCCATCCATTTTCTTTACCCGCTTATTCCATTTTGGGTCACGGGGGTCGCTGGTGCCCATGTCCAGCAATCACTGTGCGAGGGGCGGGGGACACCCTGGATGGGTCGCAAGTCCATCACAGGGCCACATAGAGACAAACGAGACAAACAACTATTCACTCTCTCTCTCTCACCTAGGGACAATTTAGAGTTACCAATCAGCCTAACATGCATGTTTTTGGTCTGTGGGAGGAAACCGGAGCACCCGGAGAAAACCCACGCATGCACGGAGAGAACATGCAAACTCCACCCAGAAGGCCCCTGGACCGGGGTTTGAACCAGGGACCTGTTCGCTGAGAGGCAGCAGCTCTACCAGTTGTGCCACCGTGCTGCCTCTAAAGAGACTAATCAGTGATTTATCACATTCAAACACGGATGGGACACTCATCAGAGGCTATGAGGGGTTCAGTGTCTTGCCCAGGGACACTTTGGCACATGACTGCTGTGGGGTTCGAACCCCCAACTCTTGCATTGGAGGACGACTGCTCTAACCACTCAGCCACAGCCGCCCTGTGTTAGTTACTATTTATTTTTATTAACACATTAGGATGCACAAAAGCTAAGTTCTGTTTTTATCTTTAATAAAGAATGTATAAAAATGAAAATGCTTTTTTTCATCTTTTATTTTAACATACAAAATCACCATATGAGCAATTTATAATAAAACTTTAATGCAATATTAAAACAAATGATAGTTTCTTGCATGTATTAGTCATAGTTAAATGATTTAAGTTATATGTAATATTTCATTTTTAGGCCTTATTTTTGAAGTCTGTTGGAGTCAGTCTCCCCACCATCACAGACACCTCCAGATGCAGGAAGAGGGCCACCTGCATCATGAAGGACCCCACTCACCCAGCACACACATTTTTTCCCCCACTCCCCTCAGGAAGGAGGTTGAGGAGCATTAAGTGTAGAACCACTAGACTGAGGAACAGCTTCTACCCTGAGGCTGTTAGACTCATGAATCTCTAACCAGAATAATCACTGTGAAAAATCACATCATGTTGCTGCTGATCTGTTTCTTGTTGCTGCTGATCTGTTTCATGTTGCTGTGTTCATGCGTGCTCATCTGCTCACACAGACTCATGCTCATGCTACTGTTCGGTGTATTGTTTTTATGTTATTAGTGCTTAGTGTATTTTTAATTAACGTTTTTCTTATTTCATATCTTAGATCTTATTACTGTTTTTCTTTACAATTTATACTTTTGTTGGATGTAACCGGGAGTCTGTGTACACAATTTCATTCCACCTCATGTATCACATGTGGTGCGAACGACAAATAAAGATCCTTGAATCTTGAATCCTACTGAGAACGCCTGACTAATTTAACACCAGAATATATTTGAAGGATGGTGTTGGTGGCGTAACTGTTAGAGCTGCTGCCTCTCATCGAGCAGGTCCCTGGTTCAAATCCTGGTCTGGGGGCCTTTCTGGGTGGAGTTTGCATGTTCTCTTCGTGCATGCGTGGGTTTTCTCTGGGTACTCTGGTTTCTTCCCACAGACCAAAAACATGTATGTTAGGTTTGACTGGTAACTCTAATTGTCTCTGGGTGAGAGAGAGAGAGTGAATGGTTGTTTGTCTCGTTTGTCTCTATGTGGCCCTGTGATGGACTCGCGACCTGTCCAGGGTGTACCCCGCCCCTCGCACAGTGATTGCTGGACATGGGCACTGACGACCCCCGTGACCCAAAATGGAAGAAATGGGTAAAAGATAACGGATGGATGGTTTGTGTTTGTTTAAAGTTAAATGTTACATTTTTAATGTTCCGAAAGTGAGGTGTTGCAGTGTGTGTGTGTGTGTGTGTGTGTGTGTGTGCTTGATGGGGGTGGGATGGGCTTGTGAAGAGGTTGGCATGTTGGGGGCTGGGCTTTGATCATGAGTGATTAGAAACAAAAGCCTCTTGAGCGGATCAACTGAAGGCACAAATGAAGTGGGTCACAGCCTGCCGGTCCACTGTAGCCATGCTTTAGGGGCCTGAGGGGGGGGGGGGGGGGGGTCACATAATGGATAACAGATCATTTCCTCAATGCACATCAAAATCCGTGCTTTCATAAAACTGAATCAGTTTATGAGCCTGCATTATCCTGATTAGTGTACTGGTTCAGGAAAACAACAACAACCTTGAAAGAAAACACAAAAACACCACAGATGGATTAGTTTTATGTAAGATAAGAAAATATAAGAAAAGATAGAACTTTATTGATCCCACAGGAAATTGTTGTGCCAGAGTTTCAGTACAAAGGAACCTAAACAAGGAAACATGTACAGGTTTACATTCATCATGAGCATGAAGGTCATTT